GCAGGAGGGGCAGCGGAGCCCGGAAACACGACATGGGGGGGGGGGGGGGGGTCTTTGTCAGGCACTATAACGGCCCAGATAAACGATCTGGCGGCAACTGTGTCACCAGAATCGCTTCTATTGTAAAGCCGACCAATGCTGCCAATGGCGTACTATGCAAGTCACTGGTCGCTAAGGGGTTAAATGCTCTATTTTTATTTTTATATCTAGATCTGTCATTGTAAGTAAGCTGTCAGCAAAACACAACACTGTTCCATTCTTGTAACAAATGTAATATTAGTTTTCCAATTTCAAGTTTAAAGGCCAAACCTTTTTATCTTGTTATTGGAGTTCATCTTGTCAGTGACTCGGCTGATTTGTTTTTGCACCGAGTTTTTCTTTGCAAGTGACTCTCCGGCTGTGTCTTGATCACAGGTTCATGGTTTCATTTACACTTGGTTAAACTTGTTTTAGTTCACGTGAGAAAGATTCCTAACTATGTAATGTACACTGACCTTCCTATGAACTCCCAGGCACCGAATTGCCAGCTTGTGTTAAAGGAGAAAGCAAGCATAGCTCAAGTATAAGAGAAAAACAAAAACCTGTCATGCCGCGCAGACCCCTCTATTCAACAAGCACCGAGCTGTGTGCCCTGCAAGTAACAAATAGAGCACATTATTCTTTATAGAGGAAGCCGATGATGTATTGCCTGAGATTCTTTTAGACAGAGGGCAAGCTTTCACCGGAGGAAGGTTTCATAGCGGTAAAACTCTTTGCACCATTTAAATGTTTTTTTTTCTTTACAGTTTTGGCCAGAATGATAATTTATACACTGCACGGGGTGTGTGAATTATCAATAAGATGAGTGTTCTGTACAGAAGGTGGCTGCACAGTAGAACAATGTTACCTTACAGCATGCCATTCCCATCACAGAATGCCCATCTTCCGGGCACTGAAGAGGGAGAGCGATGTGACCCCAGCTGTACAGTGCCCCAGTTGCATCACCTTTACTATCCTCCATTCAGAAAATGTCTTGTGGGGGTTTTTTTTTTTTTTAAAGAATACAAGACATTCTGTGATTGGAGGAGAGGAAGGGATGAGGCTCTGACATATCTCCTGCGTATGTGACATCCAATACTGTGCATTGCCACACACATTGAAAATGCACGTTAATGGAAAAAGAATCTGGATTATAAAAAGCATAGCCAAAACTTATATTTTGTAACGTATATTCTTTACAAGTAGTAACAAAAAAAAAAAGCACTAGGGTTATAATGCACATAAACGCATGTGTCCAGCTTTCCCATACTAAAAATAGTGTCTGTTCCTATCTCCGGCTGCACTGCAGTACATTTAAAATCTGACATCTGTTTTCTCTTTTTCTATTTTTATTTGTGCATTAGAAGACGCATAGAATCCTTTCTCCATTTCAAATCCTAAATCAAAAAGCACTTTGGAAATGCCCATCACCTGCCTAGGGGTAGAAAAAAAACGCACCTCTGTGCACACGCATACATATCAATGGGCCCTAAAAACTAAAGCTGACACCTCCCAGCTGCTTGTAATGTGAAGTAATTCAATATGAAAGAGGTTTTAGCCGATTTCTAACAGCTTAGTAGCATCTTCTATGACTGGGTTCACACCTAGGCGTATCGAATATGCGCGTGTTTCGTGACGCGCGTTTTGCCCGCGATTCGCGTTAAAAAAACGCGACAAATGCGCGTTTCCGAGGGCTACTTGGCTGTATCCCAATGGAAACGCTTGACAAAAACGCCCCAAAGAAGCTTCTGTACTTCTTTGGGCGTTTTGTAGCGCGTTCATATGGCCTGTAATACGCACAGGTGTGAACCATACCCATAGGAGATAATGGGATTTCGGTGTTTGAGCGTTTTGCAGAGCGTTCGAACGTGCTACAAAACGCCCAGGTGTGAACCGGGCCTTAGTGTTTGCAGTCTACCTGCCTTCTAATGGAATATAACAGGGGGAAAAAACCCGAAGATTTATGTGCTTCTGTTGTGAACTTTGAAGACAAGTTTCCCTACCATGCCCATAGCTAGTCAGGTGAATGTGCTTTTACTATTTGTTTGGAATATATAAAAATGTCATGTGTCTAGTCTTTAAAGGAGAATTATGGGGCGTGAAATACACTCATCCCCACAGATAGAGCCAGCGTGTCACACTGCAGCTGTCATACGTTCGTTGCCAACGTTTTCAATCGTCGATTTTAATCGACTAAATCGATTAACTGTTGCAGCTCTAGTCTCTATAGATCGAACTGAGTGATTTTAAAGACCCCTGATCGCTCAGTTCCTGATCTCCCTACAGAGAGCGGTGACTGTCAGTCATCATCCCCGCTATTTGCTGACTTTTGAGTCGCAGGAGGAGATTAGTAAATGTCCTCCTCTTACCCAAAAGAGAACCAACGCCAAAAAAGGTTGGCCCATAGTTCTCTCTTACAGTAAACCTGTCAAATGGTCATTAGCAATCGAACTAGCTATAGTGTCAAAAGGCAGCTTGAGATGCCTACAAGCGAAGGTATTCCTCTTTGATCAAACATGTACCTAATATTTCCCATTTATAAAGATTTTATTTGGAAACGTTTTGCTTGTTTGTGTCAAAGGACCAAAGCTCCCTGCCTTTTTCTTCAATTATGTGTGCTCCAATGTGACAGGTCCTCTTTAACGTTTTTCTCGCAGGACTTTTGTTGCTATAACTGGCTCTCCTGCTAGTTGGAGATTGGACTTTACAACTTTCTTCTGGGAGATACATCTGTCTTCTGGGACACAGCAGCAGACGATGGTCGTTCTTTTACAAGTGTCACAAATCTTGCAGGTTGCTGCGGGCACGGCACTAGTACACTGTGTATGTGTGATGAGCTGTCTCTTCCCATTAGCCGCCAGCAGAGCGCCTGTCCTTCGAGATTTCAGGATGTCAGAAGTTCATGTGCTTTCCCTGTAACATTCTACATGTTGGAAGATGCTGTAGAAATACTATGCAACCTATTAGTTGCTGATTCCTTAAAGCACATCTAAACCCCAAATCAAGAATGTAATATATTGCAGCGTGCTGGTTCCTAATTGACATTCTTCAAGAATCTGAATATTTTAAATGGTCAGTTTTAAAGGAAACATTATATAAGGAAACCTGGAGGTTTCCATTGCTGATCTCTCCTGAAAATGCTATTGACCTTGCGTTCATATTTTTTTTTAGTATTAATAACGGAGGGTCAGCATAACAGCCAGGCAAAATTATTTCTAGGAGATCAGCTATGTCATATATAGCACATTTCCAGAGGCGTAATCTAGTCATCTGCGGCCGCTCAGCCTGTACAAAGCAATGCTAAGCTGACAGCCGTCACGGCTGTCAAACTCCTTATTTGAGAGGTGTTCAGATTTTTCTGTAGGCTTGCCTACCTTCTTTTGTTTATAGTTTTATTCTAAAAATACTCCGCAGCTTAGAGCCGACGTTTGACACTGCAGTTGTCACACGCCGGTGTTCTATCAATGATTGTGACTGGGTTGGAATGTGTGACCGGTCATGTGGTCACACATTTTAAAGTAATCACGCCCACTTTTTCGGCGGTGGAATATGTGACTGGAAAAAGGTGACAAATTCCAACACTTTCTCAGCTGTTCCAGGGCAGATCAGCATCAGAATCGTAGATCACATGTGCAGGAGAAGCGATCTGCCCTGGAACAGCTGATCGGTCCTGAAATGTCACTGCTATCCGACTCTGGAATGTGAGATCGCAGTCGCATTTCAAGACCGATCAGCTGTTCCAGTGCAGATCGGTTCTCCTGCACATACCATCTGCGATGCCAATCTGCCCTGGAACAGGTGAGAAAACGTTGGATATCTTCACCTTTTGCGTGTCGCATATTCCACCGCCGAAAAAGTGGGCGGGATCACGTTAAAATGTGTGACCATGTCACCGGTCACACATTCTAACGCAGTCATAACTTTTGATAGAACACCGGCTCTATATACCAAAGGTTGAATCGTCTATCATGAATGGCTGATCGCTCAGTTCCAGGTTTCTTCTTCCTGCAGGCAGCAGTAACTCTCAGCCCCTGCTCCCAGCAGGGATTCTCATCTCTGCCTCTCTAGAGCCCCTTCCCCGTCTGTCCCCCCAATGAGCGCTGGAGGCACAGAGTAAGTGGTCATTAGGCATCTGAGTGAGCCCCTACAATATTGTTGGTGTCTTTCTTGGATGAGCAGTGGTTCAGCGCTGTCAGAAGATAATGGGTGTTAGCCCACTATTTGCTGAGTTGGGGTTACAGGAGTACATTAGTAAGAGCCCATTCACATCGGATCTGTTGCATTCCATTCTGTTACAATCCGTTTTCTAACAGATGGTAACGTCAGAGCAGCAGACAGTTCACATTGGTGCCATGCATTGCTGTCTACTGTCCTGAAAAAAAAAAAAGAACATGCTCCATTTTTGTTTAACACAATGTGGCATAGATGCATGCTAACCCAATGGAAAGGAAGCTATACAGTGAAGTTTGTCCACTCTGGACATGTTACTTCACATAAAGCTTCTAAAAAAAAAAAGCCGAAAGAAAGCAACAGATCACAATTATTGGAAGGTAAATTCGCAGGTCAACTGACCCTCTGTAGACCTGCAAGGACCTTCGAATTTTGATATGAATGATGCACCCCAAATATACTCCTGTGACCCGAAAGAAGACTAAAGCCAAAAAAAAGTTTGGCTTTAAAGTGGACCTTTACCCTTATCTTTAAATTAACAGCAAACACACCTTTTAGAAATGTTTAGTAATGACAATCTACAAACAGATACTTCTAGATCATTGCCGGCTTTGTATTCTTTGAATACCTTATTTCTCTTTTCTTACCCAGTCTTCTGACAGTGGCCATGATTACTAAGGGCAGATCACTAGCTTTCCATTTACTTCCTGGAACTCTGGCACATGTGACTTGGACATGTTACCATGCACATCATCTCAGGGGAGGAAAATGCCTTTTCCCCGAGATCTCCTGAGACTACAGATGAGATTTCCCAGCAATTTTCTGCTGATGACAAGGCAATCCCAGTGTGCATTGCTTTGGCAAAGTGAAGTCATTTTGCTCTTTCAAATCTGCTCCAGATGTTGTCTGCTCCAGTTATGATAAATTCCCCCCAATGCACGTGGGACTATGGAACAATAGTCTACAATAGTAAAGCAAATAAAGAAATATGTAATATTCATTGTGGTCTCAATGTAATAATCACATTTTTTCCCCTTTCTTCCAGAGATAATGTTTTCCTATTAACACCCCAACTCACCCCACGTAAGCTGAGCGGGCTACCTTTCGAAAGAGCCTCTGAATGTCACTACCATGGTCTTGAGTAAGTTCTTTATATGTTTCATAAAGGTAATCATAAAAAATAGGGACGTTCTGTATTTGAAAAAAAAAAAAAAAAAAACCTTTTACATAGAATTATCCCCAGTACCTACATGGGAAGGAATGGCACCCTGGGCCTTGAATGGTCCAGGGCAGGGGTAGCCAAACTCCTGCCCACCAGCTGTGGTGGAACTACAAATCCCATGAGGCATTGCAAGATTCTCACAGACATGACTCCCAGGGAGAGATGCATCATGGGATTTGTAGTTTCACCACAGCTGGTGGGCAGGAGTTTGGCTACCTCTGCCCTGGACCATTCAAGGTTTTGCTGCCTTATGTAGTGCAGACGGTCTAAAAGTGTGCAGATGTTTACTGGAGGGCAGGACACAGGGATGACCCATCACAGGCTGGAATTGGTGCTGGGTCAAGCTGCATTGCTGGTAGGTCTCTGATCTAGCTGAGCTGTCTGGGAGGGGTTGCCTATATCACAATACTTACTACAGATCTTCCACTGGTAATACATTTGCTATACAGTATATGTATGCGTTTAGCTTTTAGTCTACAATTCAGTTTAAATGCTTATAGAACGGTATACCCCCCCAAAAGAGTAAGTTTCTTTCCGATTGGGTGTGCTTTGTGGAGGGGAAGTTTGCAGCACATATGCTTTATCAATCAAACCTGTTCAGGTGGGCTCACGTTTTTATAGTAATGTTAATGTTTTATCATGATCAGTTCTAAAAAATACACACACAGCTAAATGATTATAGGATTGACTCAATTTCTCTTCATACAGTTTCAATTGGAGAGTCAGTGTTAGGGTGCCCACACACCTTACGATAATCGCGGGAAATCCCGCGATCGTACGATTATGGTAAGGTGTGTGGAAGCCGTGCGTATATACAGGTAGTAGAGGTACTACTGTAAGAAAAGAAATAGACACCGGCACTCGATTTATTATTGGAGTGCCGGTGTCTATTTCTTTTCTGCATTACTTTGACGGTGGCCATCCGTCGACTACTGAGCACCCAGGATACTTTGTTGGACGTGCGGTCAGGAGTGCAATGGGTACATGGACTGTACTCTACTACTGTAAGGTCGCACGACTTTAAACTTACGGACATGTTCGAAAACCCGCCGAGCATCGTACGATGTTCGGCGGGTTTGTGGCATGCCCGTACGATAACAGCCGTACGGGCCGGTGTGCGCAAGCGCACACTGCCCGTTCGGCTTTGCGGTCATGGGAAGCCCGCACCTCAGGGGGCGTGGCTTGTGATCATCGCAAGTACGATCTGCCTATGCAACATAGGCAGATCGTACGTTTTTTTAAGTACCTTACAACCATCGCAAGACAAAAGTCTTGCGATGGTTGTAAGGTGTGTGCCCAGCCTCAGTAACAAAAAAAAACTATTACTGTGATCGTCGAATAAAACAGAATGAAGGGAATTTATCAAAACTGGAGCAGATAAAATCTGGAGCAGTTGTGCATGGCAACCAATCAGTTTCTTTCATTTTCAAATCTTAACTGAACAAACTGAAGAGAGAAGCTGATTGGTTGCCATGCAGAGCTGCTCCAGTTTTTGTCTGCTCCAGTTATGATAAATGCCCCCCCCCCCTAATGTATTCTGTACCAGTGTCTTGTTTATTTGTAACTCTAATTTTTTTAAGTACATTTAGTACACTCACTGTTTTTTTCCATAATTATATCACAGTTCTAGTATTAAACGGATAAACACTACCGCCTCCTTTCGCAGGCTCTTTTTGTCAAAGTCCTCATGTTATGGCTGTGTCACAACTGAGCTAGTGGTTTGGGTTTGAGAGCTAGTAGCCGCTAGTAGCTAGCTGCCAAAGGATCCATAGCACAAGGCATTATTCTGGGGGACATCATATTAGGACTGTGGGCAGGGAGGGTTTACCTATCTGTAAAATAAAGATTTTGTACAAAAAGTAAAAAAAATAAAAGAAAATGAAAAAATAAGCAAAGGTTGGCCCTAAACCATTACAGTATTCATTTATTATAGTAAAAAAAAATGAAAGGCCCGATTTTTGTAGATTTTTAAGTCAACCGATCCCGTCCATCTATACAAGACCTCCTGTGTTTTTCTTCATTATTTAGGTATTGCCTCGATGAAAGGAAAGCGTTAGATCGTGATGTAGCCTATTCAGAGCTGCAGTCTCGTCTCATTCGCTATGAAACTCAGACCACTTGTACTAGAGAGTGCTGTCCTCTCCCCTTCGCTCTGAGTCCGCTTCCATCTCCCGCTGTCCTGTCTGAGCCAGGCAGTGTTCCAGACGGAGAGTCTCTGCAAGACCATCTGAGGCTGAAACGACGGTCTCGGGACCTGGACGGATTGATCGCCAGCAAGAGGTAAGTAACTTTACTGCGGTTCGCATGTTGTCTGTAGATTTTCCACTCTGTTTGACCGGGTGATCACTGACCTGCTGTTGGGACGTTGATATTTTGGTTCCTGATTTCTTTACAGCGAAAGAAACTGCGAGTAATAGCCCAGTTACTAGATCAGCTCTTGTTTGCATGTGTTCTGTGAAGCTTCCTGTTGTTCCCAAGGTAGTGAAGATGTGGGAATTTCAGCTGAATGTGTTGACTTTCCCAGTCCTGAAACCAGCATGAGTTGGTCTCTCCCCTGAAGTTTGCCTCATTTGGATAGCCATGAGCCTTGAAGTGACACTAAACGCAGGAGTTAAAAGAGATGTATGGAGTAAGTGTTTTTCCCCATTGTTCTCTTAAGGGTCACGTGGAGGACATATACTAGCTTCCTCCCGTGACCCACAGCTTAGAATATCGCATAATATTAGACAGTTTCATTGTTACATGTCAGCTCGAACTATGAGGAGGAGTGATTTTCACTCGCCTTATAGTTCTGCTTTTAAATCTTAAAAATACATTCGAGGACCTTTACTATTAAATGTATCTTATTTGTGTATCTCACGGCTGTATTGCCTCCAAATCATCTCTGAATTGGTGCTGACACTGTCCTTCCTTCTGGAGGGTGGCTACTTTAGTTCCTCATGGTCCCTGTGTGTGTTGTAAAGTAGTCACCGCTACAAGCTCGCTCAGGTGATGGACTATAATCTCACGTTTTAGTTTACTCATTTGTATTGAGATTCTAGTCTGCCCCGGGAGGGAGCGTTAGTATCCACAGCACATAGCACCCAAGCTAGTATTCAAAGCCTATCACAGGCTTTGAATACTATGAGCAGTGGAGTACACAGGACTTTGGGGAAGTGGGTGTTAGCTGCCAGAGATTTTTCCAGCAAGAAAGTATTAACCCTTTTGTTTACAGGAAAGTCTTTACAGGTCGGCTCTATTGATGGGGAACTCGGTGAACAGATACCTCTGTCAGTCATGGCTCCCCGCAGGGACTCCACTTCCCCTCTCCGTCTCTCCAGCGCTGAGTGGAGGAACGGGCGGGAAAGGGGTCAGGAACACAGCTGGCTCTGCCTCCAGAGAGGCAGAGCCGGGCTTCAATCAGGCAGCGGATTGAATCCCGACAATATTGTCGGGATCCATCCCGGCTGTGGTGCGGTTCTGCGCTGTCCGTATATAGCTGCCAAAAGTCCACTATATGCTGAGTTTTGGGTCACTGGAGGACATAGTATACTGTATGTCCTCCTGTGACCCTGAAAAGAACTATGACCACAAAAAGGTTAGGCTGTAGTTCTCTTGTAAAGAATGCTGAGTGGTATGCTCGCGCCATTATATTGAATATACAGGTATCACTACTGTTACAGCCGTGGATATGCAGTAAAATCACTGACTTGTTTTTTTGTCTTTAGACTTGCAAAATCTGAAAGCTCGGACTCTCTGCTGTCTCTGGCCAGTGAGGGCAGCGGTCCTCGTCAGCCATCCAGAGTGACCAGGACACGCTCTGAAAGGATGGCACCAGCGCCATCTTCAGCCGCGCAGACTTCCTCTTCTGCTGCCCGGGGACCTTTAGGGAGCAGCAAACCTGCCCAGCCAAAGCAACCTGCCAATCTGGAGTCCGAGAGCAAGGAATCCAGATCCCAGAAACACAGCAGGGTAACGTGTTCTGTCATGTCTTGTATTCCTTTCTGCCGCCTTGTGCAATGAGACCTCTGAATGACTTTGTTGGTTCTTCGCAGAGCCAGTGAAGTATAGAGATCATTTCCCAGTACTCTTCCAGTTTTCTCTTGTAATTCACGTCAGAGCTTCCCAGGAACTGAAATAAACATTTCTAATATTTGGGTAATTGAAGCTGAGTATACAATGAAAAAAATGCATAAAAAGACAATGGTTGTAGTGAAAACTACATTACTAAAGGATTGGTAGGTAACAGGCAGCAAAATGCCATTATTTTGTTTCCTTTCTCTGTAAATGAGAAGTTAAGCCCCACTTCCTCCTACCTGCTTGGTTTTCCTATTCGTCGTCAGAGCTGCCCATTACATAAAAGGTATGTAATGGGCGAATGCAAAACCACATCCATATTCCTTCATTGTGGGAGAGGTTACTACCGTGTTTCCCCGAAAGTAAGACCTACCCCGAAAATAAGCCCTAGTGCTATCTTCGGGGATTTCTGTAATATAAGACCTACCCCGAAAATAAGCCCTAGTGCTATCTTCGGGGATTTCTGTAATATAAGACCTACCCCGAAAATAAGCCCTAGTGCTATCTTCGGGGATTTCTGTAATATAAGACCTACCCCGAAAATAAGCCCTAGTGCTATCTTCGGGGATTTCTGTAATATAAGACCTACCCCGAAAATAAGCCCTAGTGCTATCTTCGGGGATTTCTGTAATATAAGACCTACCCCGAAAATAAGCCCTAGTGCTATCTTCGGGGATTTCTGTAATATAAGACCTACCCCGAAAATAAGCCCTAGTGCTATCTTCGGGGATTTCTGTAATATAAGACCTACCCCGAAAATAAGCCCTAGTGCTATCTTCGGGGATTTCTGTAATATAAGACCTACCCCGAAAATAAGCCCTAGTGCTATCTTCGGGGATTTCTGTAATATAAGACCTACCCCGAAAATAAGCCCTAGTGCTATCTTCGGGGATTTCTGTAATATAAGACCTACCCCGAAAATAAGACCTAGTGGTCTTTTTTCGTGAAAAAAAATAAAATAAGACACTGTCTTATTTTCGGGGAAACACGGTAGTATCACTCCACAAATCCTAACAGTGTCTCACACCAGCAATAAACCACAATTGTATTCGTAACTCTTACAGGAGTAGAAGGCCTTATGACGGGTAGCCAAACCTGGGCCCTCCAGCTGTGGTGAAACTTCAAATCTTATCATGCCTCTGCCACTGGAAGTCGTGGCTGTCAGTCTTGCAATGCCTTATGGGACTTGTAGTTCTACAACAACTGGAGGGGAGTAGTTTGGCTATCCCTGCCCTATGAGATAGTGATCAACTGGGTATTGATTAAAAAGGACAGATGATAACGTTAAACTACAAAATGGCTAATGTAGCAATGATATATCTTGTATAGCTTATATGGTCATACATGAAATAGCAGTCCAATTATGTGTTTGTTCAAAATCTTTATATGCATCTTACATACTGCTAGCATAGGTACATGTATCCATGTTTAGATCAGCTTCTTCTAATGCACTGTACAGCTATACATACAGCAGGAAAGGAGAGCACACTCAGCCATTCAGGTCGCGCTTGTTATTGATGATTCCATGCACTTTTAGCTCACCTATGAGCATGCTTTCAGAAGGAGAAGGTGACATACTTGGTGTGTTCTGCTTTTCCTTCCCTGTCCAGTCTCACAGGGATCCCAATCTTGCTTAAAGGGTATGTTAACCTTTTTGTGTTTTAAGAAAACAATTGATAATTACCCTAGCTTCATCAAATACAGCTCATTAATAAACCTAAAAGGCAGGGATGCTAAATACCGATCTTTACCTTTTATTTTAGTGGTGGTCACATGATCGCTGTACTTCCTTTCCAAGCTTCGAAGGGGGTGTGGTACAGACTGCTAATACAAATCAGCAGCTTTTCCTGATATGATAAAACCTAGGAGCACTTTAGCTCCATGGAAATTAGCACAGCACCCACATGCTGTAGGCGGGGATAGGGGGATGATTGACATCCCTAAACACTCCCTGCCTACACTATATGGCAAAGCAAGCTGAGTAGAATGTGGAGAAGGGCACGTTGTCCTGTGATGTCACAGGCCGACTACGGAGCTATGGCGTATGATCTAATAGAATAAAAGAGGGCGCAAACGGACCACGCCAACACGAATCTGCTTCCGTGTTTTTGCGTGGTAAGAAACCAAAAGGAAGTAAGTTATTCCCAGGGAGACTGGCAGGATCCTCCGAAATTTAGTGTAGCTTCAACTTTTTCTTGACTTAATAAAAAGGATCTGTAGAAGACTGTGAGGGACAGCAACAGAATTGTCAAATCTAGGGTCACATACACTTCAACTTCAAGGGATTCGGCACAAAGGTCCAGGACCTGCCTGGGCACTTTGTTCAGCCAGATTTCTGATATGGCACCATTGGCAGAGTTGCAAAATCCTTTGGCAGGAAGCAGTTCACATATACACAGTTCACCTGAGTACGGACTTCTACTTTTATCCCTTTTACTGCCACTGAAGTAACTATTACAATGTGACAATCAAAGCTGGAAAAGAGGTTAATGGACGCAAGAGCAGTCATGAGCTTGTTTTACATATAAGAGTATCCCCACACAAGTCAGCGGTAGAAGGCCGTCATTTAGTTTGAACTGTAAGTTGATGAGCTGTAAATGGCTTTTCTGGCATTACGTTTATTTTACCAGTCCGGGTGTAGTCCATTAGAACTGATGCCACCTTTTCTGTCACATTGAAGCATATCTAAACACAAAAACATAATATATTGCAAGTTACCGATTCTTAAATGAGGTGGATGCGTTACGTTTCCCCCCTTTTTTTTTTTCTTCTCATTTTTAATTGGTGATCTGGTCAGTAACACACTTCCCTTTTTATGGTTGCCCGGCTCTATGGAGGAGCAACAAAGCCACACTCTAACAACAGCATTGTCACCCTGTGGGGAGGAAGGTGGTAGATAGACTTGCACATTTTGATGGACTGGACCAACGAATTAAATCTGAACTCCAGATTAAAAAAAAAATATTTTTAATTCAAAGTTTTTATTGTTTTTCGGTATATTACGCCTAAGTATACTTTGTCAATACCAAAGTAGAGCAAGTAAAATTTATAAATGCGAAGAAACTGAGATAATAGCATAAGATCAAATACTGCATAAATGTCAGGTGCGATGCTTAAGTGACAGAGCGCTCTCAATGTGGCCCCGTATGCAAAAAAGTACAAGGCCGCAACTTGGGTTGTGTGAGAATACAAAGATTACTATAAGGCAGCAACTGTATGAGCAAAACATAAGTGAAACGCATTGTTGTAAGTTGATCTTATGCACTTTGTAAGAACATAGGAAACGTCCAGAAAAATTATAATCTTCGCTTAAGAAAAGGCAAATTCAGGAAAATTGTAAATAAGAGATAAGAAAAGATGTTGGAGCAAGTGTAGTCAGAAAAAAAGGAGAGAACATACCAGTCTCAGGTCGTTCCCGGGTATGGGTGGAAGACATCTCAGGCCTGTTACGAGAGTCTAAAGCATTAGGAGATGTCTGTCAAATGATTGAGTGTATAGGTATTGGATCCATGGATGCCACGTTTGTTCGAAACGCGTGGCTGTTTTCCAGTCTAGCAGAGATAGGTTCGTTAAAAGAGAACTATGGGGTAAGTGTTTGTTTTTCCCCATAGTTCTCCTAAGGGTCACAGGAGGACATATACTAGCGTCCCCCCGTGACCCAAAGCTCAATATATCCCAGGCTACAGCTCGCGGCATACTGAGACCGCCGCAGCCGGGATGGATCCTGACAATGCTGTCGAGATCCACCCAGCTGTGTGAGTGACAGCTGGCTCTGCCTATCTAGAGGCAGAGCCAGCTGTGCCCGCCCCCTCTCCCGTCCGTTCCTCCAGTCAGCGCTGGAGGATTGGAGAGGGGAGGGAATCCCCCGTGGGGATTGACAGATAAGTGATCACTCATATCGATGAGAGCAGACCAGGTATCTATGGTTCCTTGTTACAGGCCCTTTCGAAGGGAGTGAACGTGGGACCTGTAGGAAACTTGGGGAATTGGGAAGACACAAAGTGCTTGACCTGGAGGTAATGAGAAAGTTCCGTTGCCGAAAGCTGGTAGGATGATCTCAATTGAAGAAACGTTTTTGGACCTGCAGCTGTCTATAGTGTAAACATACAGGTTACGCCTTTTTGGTTTTCCAGTAGTGGAATGCAGCGGGGGCAACGAGGGATTGCTTAGAAACGACAGAAGCAGGCGGTGAGGGGACATTAGGTGTGCTGAGTATTTGTGGGCACTACCATATGCGCAAGGAGTGAGCGGTAATAGGGTTAAGCAAATGCGCCCTGTCTTTCGGGAGGAGCCACAGGAGATTTTCAATAGCGTGCGGGACGCAATTGACAGCCTTCATCGAGACTCAGATTGGAGAGTCTAAAGTAGCGTGGTCAGATAACTTGTTTTTTTTAAGCAGTTAAAGCAAGTGTTTTAAGTGAAGTGTTTTTATGTTTTTTGTTTTTTCCCTCTCTATTTGGGATAAAGGTTTTTCATAAATGAAGAATAAATGCTGACCATGGTACACACCCCTGTGGTTTGTTTCAGTCCTCTTGCTGCCATTTTTGCTGGACAGCTTGGTCTGGTAAAGGAAGCTTAGAATAACAGACTTACTGGCCAGATCGTAAAGGATATAAAATCCTAAAAAAGAGAGCAGATGTAGCGACTACATCTAATTATTGGTACGCTGCATTATATTACAATTTTGCCTTTGGGTTGAGATGAACTTTAAGGAGATTTCCCCTCACTTTCTGTCCCAGTGGCACAATAGGAAGTGAGGGGAAATCCGCTCTTAGATGGTTGTCACCACTAGAGTTGTCCCCAGTTGTAAAATTTCCCGTCACCTTTTCTGGCGACAACTGTAAAGCGTTAATTTCTCACCGCTTTCTGTCCCAGGACAACTAGAGAGGGCTGAATGTTCCCAGCGAGGACACAAGACTGCAATAAAAAATCTGACAGAGGTGCGAGTCTCACCCCCGGATATCTTTCTGACCACTAGTGGGCGCTTTTACACTTTAAAAGAAATAAAATAATCAAAATGCGGGAAAGCAAGAAAGTTAAATGTGAGAAGTCTCATCAGTAGGTACAAGTATTCGAATATAAATAGCAAATGTGTTCTCAGAGGAGATACAGCGGAGTTTTCCTTTAAGAGATATGAAACCGGTTATGTGAAGTGCTTTCAGCCATCTTTGCGATGTTCGAGGCTTTGAATTGTAATGTCTGGCCGGGGAGAGCGGGGAGAGGGTGTTTCATACGGGCGGTAATGTGTTTAGGAAGAGATTTAACCTTTTAGGTCTAAAAATAGAAGCCATTTCTGTCAGACAATCGGTTCCCTTTGTGAGTTCCTGCAGCCTGTGAGGAAGGAAGAGTCTGAAATGAAGACGAGGAAGGTTATGCTGCACCGTACTGTAATTATGCTCAGTGTGGTGTCCTGATATGATGAGTGCTATTGTTTTCATCTACATATGTTTTTCTCTCTTGCTACATGCAGGCTTATGTCATTAGAATCTTGCAAACCTTGATTTAAAGCCGAACTCCAGGCACAAAAACTTTCATTTAATACTCATACGTATACTCTAAGATATAAATGCCTTTGCAAACCCACATATTAACTTGTCGACACTGTGCTGCACATAACCTGTGTAGAGAGCAGAGCTGTGGGAGGAGCCAAATGGGCCCAATCACTACAGGCTGCCTGCAGGAAACTACAGGAGGGGCAGAGAGAAGACGCAGTCACTCTGCACAAGGAAGGAGAGCAGCAGTGACCGGTCTTTATTACTGGAAGCTCCAAGTGTCACACTGGATTACTGCACAGATCTGGAAGAAGAGACTCTGAAAGGACAAAGGGCCAGATTCTTTCCTTGACCCACACATGCTTACCTTCACAATCTATTTCCTTCACTGGAGTCAGGAGTGAAGACTTTTGAAAGTTTTCTGTTTTGAAGCTTACACAGAGTTAGTGACCTCTTCCTCACATGACAGTGTTCGGGCCTGGTGATCGGCCACTTAGACTTGAGCACTGCATCCTAGGCGGTGGTCACATGCTCCTCTACGAAGAAGAAGCACCAGCAATTTTTCAGGGTTCACAGAGCAAAGGGGGTAGCGTGGCAAAGTTAGTACAAATGGGTCAGGGGGTGGCCATTGAAGAGACTTTGTCATTCAGGACAAAGTGATAGAGGGCTAATTATAAACTATCCACAGGGCTGTGAACGTTCGACCTGTGCAGATATATGCCAAAATGAACGTTCTTTTAAGTATTTCCTATACAGTAAGCTTCTGCACATTTTTTGGAATGTGGATTAACTGCACATATCTGGAAGAAAGCACGCCAAGATTCTAGTAAGAATACACAGGACTCTTGTACTTGGTTATTCTTTGCTTATCATTTTATTTGTGCTGGTGACCATTGTCTGGGACTGAAAGTGAGGTAGAATCTGTCACATTTGAATTGTTACCCAAACAGGAATGGAGGTTATATCTTCCAATGGGGGCACTTTTTTCAAACGTCAATTTTCTAAGTGGTGGTGTCACTCATGTTGGAGAGTTCCGTGCCCTTTCTGTTGCATTTATAATGGAACGGGCGGTGTGAGGGGAAGTATTACCAATGGGATGGGCGTTGTGAGGCAAGTATTCCCAATGGGGACAGGGGGGATGAAGGGGAGTATCCCCAATGGGACGGGGAGTAAAAGGAAGTATCCCCAATGGGATGGGGAGTAAAAGGAAGTAATCAGTCGCCAATGTATCGGAAGCTTTAGTAATCTGTTTGCCTTTGGCTTACCACACATCGCTATGTTGCGTTCTGTTTGTATTATCTTGTTCTCTCCTCTACAACAAAAGAACCCCTAAGTTTAATCCAAAATGTACATCTGCCTTCAAAAAACACAGCAATCTCATCATCATAACATCTGAATTCCTGTTTATGTTTTTCTCAGATGCTGAGGGAGGTGGTGTGTAAAACGCTACAGAAGCATGCCATCCAGGAGGGTCACCCTTGCTTCGCCGCCTGCAGTCAGCGCCTCTTCGAGGTCTCCAAATTCTTCTTAAAGGTGCAGTATATGTCTGTCAAAACCACTGACCAACAAACCTTTTTTTCTTCCTCCTATTAAAGGATTTTTGTTGGTTTTTGTTAATTGCAGTATTTTAGCTGATTGCTCTTTTGTCACACTCTTAAAGGAGAACTATGGGGGTCAGTGTTTTTCCCCATAGTTCTCCTTAGGGTAACGGGAGGACACAAACCTAGCGTCCTCCCGTTTACCCTAAGCTCAGTATACCGCGAGCTACAGCTCGCGGTATACTGAGACGCCGCAACTGAAGCGGATCCAGACAATTGTGCCAGGATCCGCCCAGTTGCGTGACTGACAGCTGGCTCTGCCTATCTAGAGGCAGAGCCAGCTGTACCCGCCCCCTCCCCCGTCTGTTCCGCCAGTCAGCGCTGGCGGAGCGGGGAGGGGGAAATACAGCCCCTCCCCTTGTCACGGCAGAGAGCTGTGACAGGATCGAGAGGTGAGCTCACCTCCCGATCTACTGAGCCGACCTGTGACAGTCTCATTGTCACAGGTCGGCTAGAACTATGAGGTGAGTGGAAATCACTCATCTCATAGTTTTCCTTTAAAGCCCAATTGAGTCTCAGCCTAAATCTGCCTTTTTTTTTTACCCCAGAGGAACCCTTGAAATATTTTTTAGGACTTGGGGAACCCATGCTGATGATCATTCTATCTGCCGATCAAGGTACATAGGTGTGATAAGTAAGTTGCAGAACGTTTACCAGAGTACGGCATCTGACAACCCCACAGAAAATCATTTATCAACACGCTCCTGCCCTATACCCCAAAAAACTATTGACAGTAAGGCTGGGCTGGAAGGGCGGCATTTTCTTCTCGCAACGGAATTTATTTGACGGCTCTGAATGCTGTCCTATGTGTTTACTGTGCTGGTAAATGTTATTACACGCAGTATAGCTGTGTCCTGGTCCCTAACTGCCTCCAGATTCATATGTTACCAGCTCTTGTCTCCACTTTTTTTTTTTTGCAAACCATCTTACTCGCCAAAGTAAGCGTTACTAGAAATGTTAATGTCTTATTTATCGTTAAAGCGTAACTATGGGCTGGCTGCAAGAATAGTTGCAAAGGTTTTTATTGTTTTGAGGATATATCTATCTATCTATCATTTATACCACTAAAGTTCCTATTTAGGTGAAATCAAGTTATCCTAACAAGCTCAGACTGCACAAAAAATTGTTTTACTTATTATTAACCCTCATTCTGGGGATAATCATTCAAGGCAAGGTTATTTTGCACAACTGGATTCCCTGCATCCACCCTTAGACTCTGGCAACAGTTTGGGGAAGGCTCTGCCTCTAGATAGGCAGAGCCAGCTGTCAGTAACGCAGCTGGGCGGATCCAGATATAATTGTCGGGATCCGCTTCAGCTGTGGCGTCTCAGTACAGCGCGAGCAGCTGCTCGCGGTATACTGCGGCGTCTCGGTATACCGTGAGCTACAGCTCGCGGTATACTGAGCCTAGGGTGACAGGAGGACGCTAGTTTGTGTCCTCCCATTACCCTAAGGAGAACTATGGGGAAAAGACTTAACCCCATAGTTCTCCTTTTTAAGGGACTTGAATGCATTTTTCAGATTTAGCTCCTGAGTTTAGTGTCACTTTAAGTGTTAGAAATATAGAAGCACAGTTACAACATTTTCCCTTGCCCGCTTTTCTCCTTTTTTGTTAATCAATGCTTTGCACACAGGACTTGAAGACGTCAAGGGGCCTTAACGATGAGATGAAGAAGGCAGCTGCTAATAATGTTAAACAGGTGAGCTCTGTGTAATGGGAAGGTTTACTTAGGGGGAAATGTGGCGTTCTATTTAAATGAGACTTCAAATGTTGTATAAATATTTAGAAAAGGCAAGATGGCTGACCTTAAACCTCTTCTAGCGACTACTGTACACTGCATCATGCTTCAGAATTCCCTCACTCTTGACTTTGTATGGGGAAAGATTAAAGAGGTTTGTCACTTTAATCTAAAAGAGAAGTGCTGCAGGAGAAACGTGCCATTGCAGCTTCTGCTTTCATGTATAACGGGATCCGTCTGTGTTTATCTGAAGCATCAAATCTGTTACTTCAAGCATAACTTCCCCTTTCAACTGGGACTCCCAGATTTGTTGAAGAATACAGAAACTATTCCTGCTAGGGCAACTCTGTGCATTGCTGGAGATTTAGCAGTCTTCATGGCAGCTCTTACCTGCTCTTGTATATTTACAATATTCACAAGTTTTCGGACTCTCCCCCAGTGTAATCCAATAGATGGTATCATTGGGGGGGACTTTGACTACACACATCAGCTGTGGTTGCAGTGTCCTAACTGGGTCTGTCCACCACCCGAAATCAATCCAGCAACATATACATAGCTCTATTGTTGAGCCCTGAGAAGGTACACGTTGTCCTTAAAGTCATTGACCATCTTTAGTGCAGCCCACCTGGTTTGATACTTGACTCCAGTTCCAAGGTTCAGTCTATAGCCCTGCCCAGTGCCACAATCCTTTCTCTTTATGCTGCACTTGCATGCCATGGCACCATTCATTCCTGCGGGGAGAGCTATACTCATGGCAGCCTCCAGCAGCTCCGAGTACAGCTTTCCCAGTAGAAACGAATAGGGCCAGAGTGCGCATGTGCAGGATGAAGAGGACCCGGCAAGGACACTTTCTGAAAATAAGGCTGTGCCCTTCCGATCAAGGCCATACAGTAAAAATCGCTGCAGTGGGGAACGCATTAAGTCCTGGACCAGGTGGGCTGCACTCTGGAGTGGGGCCATACGTGAAAGAACAACTTGTAAGAAAAGTTCAGTTGTAAAGTCTGGAGACTGTGCTAGCCACTCCATGATTTAAAGACTCATTTTGTTTTCTTCTAAGGTAGTTCTGACATCGCCTGTAGGTATGCTTTGGGTTATTATCAGTTTGCTGCATTCACACATGCTAAGATAGATATAAGAAAGCAGAGTTGGTGACATATCAGTGAGATGCCGCTCTTTTATCGTCCAATCAGGCTGTGGTCAGGCAGGTGACATCATTGTATTAATTCTTTTGGAGAAAGTGGTGTCACCCTCCTGGCTGTGCAGTCTAGCAGAGGTATATCACAATAGCAGCTGAACAGAGTTCCAAATCATTTGGCAGATAAGGCAGTTCACAATGTGTTTCGCTGCTTGCCGGGAGTGCACGTTTAATAGTCCATATGCTGGGTGGCATTTTGGTTTCTTTTTGATCCCCATGTGACATAACCAGTGGCTCTGTCATATATATATTACAGGCTTTTTATCATTTCTATTTCTGAGAAAATCCATTCTTTAACCTCTGCATTCCTCAAATGCTTCTTCTCTACAACACCCATCTTCCCATTAATACCAGGGAATGTGTAATTGATCTGTTGGGTTAATATCGGTGATATGTTGAAACACATTCCCTTTATTCATTGCCTTGTACACGGCGCAGTGTGTCAATGTCCGATTCTCCGGCTTGTCATGTTACATTGTCCCCTGTGCTCGGTCACGCAGATTTAGGTTTGTGAAACTGTCAATGATCCATCAGGGATAGCCGGTGTGGGAAATGGACCGGAACATTCTCATTTTCCACATTCGGGTGAAGAGTAAACACCTTGTCACTTATTTGTAGCTGTGTAGTGAATATGCTGCGTATAGCCCTGAAGACGCAGTCGTATTATGCTGAGCTGTGTCTTAATACTCTTACTGTCAGCTACGCGGCAATTAAATGCAAATCGTTTGCTCGAAGCTTACTGTCCTGAAGAGTCTGAATATGTTTTTTCATAGGTTTTCGGAGAAGTAACTGCAACACAACTGCTAAAAAGTGATTCTTCATTTTCCTACCCAACCAAATTGGCTTCCACACTAATTGGTAGGGATGCACCAATACCGTATCAAAAACGAGTACTGATATTTTTTTTTTTCCGGTACTCGCCAATACCGATACCAGAAGTCCCATTAAGGAAGCCGGGTGGTGTGTAATGACTCTCTTCCCGATTAGGCTTCCCGACCAGGTAACAAGGAAGCATGGAGCCGGCTTTCTGGCCAATCAGGAAGCCAGGGGCTGGGTAATGACTCGCTGCCTGGCTTCCTGATTGGCCAGCTTCTCAATCAGTCAGGAAGCCAGGCGGCGAATCATTTAGACGCCGCTCGACTCCCTGATTGGCTGGTGAAGCCGGCTCCATGCTCTCTCATCACCAAGTGACGATGGAGCAGGCTTCCCAGACAATCGGGAAGCTGGGCAGCGTGTAATGACTCTCCGCCCGGCTTCCTAATACTGGAAGTTCTGGTACTGACATAGGCATCGGGAGCATTTGGGCGAGTACTAGTACTCGCCCAAATATTTCGTATCGACACAGCTACCAATACTAGTATCTGTATTGGTGCATCCCTTTTTATTTGGCTTTGTGATGACTTCACAGATCACGCAGGAGCTGACCAGGTAAATGGGGCATCATTTGTTCCTTCTGGTTTCAACCTGATTGGCTGTGATTTCCAAAATAAAGTGAAAGGTCATATTACTGCCTAAACCATGGACCTAAATTCACCTTTTATTCTACAGAATAAGAGAAGAGCATGGCTTCCAGTGTGCGCATGTTACATTATGTGTAGGTGATGAGTTTAATTCTCTGATCGATTAATAGTTCCGACAGGTTCAAAGAACTGCTATCCTTTTAGGGTACCCAGACCCCATTCTCAAGGAGAATGTGTCATATGTGGGGTCCCAAAGCCTTTAAATCGAGCCCAGCAACATGTAGATCAAGTCATGACTGTAGCAAAAAAAAATTCTCGGAAAGAGAAAAAAGTTAGGCTTTTCACAGTAGAGAAAAAATGTCCACCCTCCTAGGACGCTAGCAAAAAGACTGAGGCATGCTGGGAGTGGGAGGGGCTCAGCAGCTTTGACACTTTTTGTATGCCAGTGTCCAAATGCTTCTGTAAGCAGCAGTATAATTCTGTGTCTCCATAATGAGAAAGAATTAATGGACTACAATCTCATGTTTCGTTTACTAATTTGTAATGAGATTGTAGTCCATCCCGGGAGTGAGTTTGGAGCTGAGTGACTACTTTACAACACACACAGGGACCATGGGGAACAAAAGTAGCCCCCCTCCAGAAGGAAGGACAGTGTCAGCACCAATTCAGAGATGATGTGAGGATCTACAGCCGAGTGATACACAAATAAGATACATTTTTGTTAATAATTAGGCCCCTTTCAGATGAGCATGTCAGGCAAGTATCCGTGCACAGATCCTCTCCTGATCACAGCAGTATGGAACGGATTTTAGCGCTGTGACATCTGTGCTGTGTCCGTACAGTTTTTTTTTTGTTTTTTTTTTCTTTCATCCTGCGATGGAGGAAACTGTAAGCGCCGGACCCCATGTGTGTCTATGGGGAATCTGATGTAAATAAACATGCGTCTGTTTACTTCAGAATGCAGGAGAACCCTACCGACACTCGTCCATTTACACACAGCTGTCCATAGACTTGCTTAGGGCATCTGCTGGGGTCCAGCTGAAACTGACAGATGGACCCGATCGGACTGTTCATCTGATAACACTAAACTGATGAGCGGTAACAGCTTTTAAAGCGTCGCCTATGGCCAATTTTGGGTTATCGTTTTGATGTTTTGCGCGCGCACGCAATTTTAAGGCTTGACATGTTTGGTGTCTTTTTACCCGACGTGACCCCGTCTTTTATATTTTACCAAAAAATTGGGTAATGGTAATAATGTTTTATCATTTAATATCATTTAATATAGGGGAAATTGTTTTTTTTTTTTACATTTCGGTAATTTTTCCTTTTAATATAGTAAAAAAATAAAACCCCCAGTGGTGAATAAATACCACCAAAAGAAAGCTCTATCTGTCCCCAAAAAAGGGTATAAAATTCATTTCAGCGCTGCATGACGGAATAAATGTCAGTTAAAGTACCGCAGCGCTGAACACTGAAAAATGGCCTGGATGGGAAGGGGGTTTAACACCCCGGATGTCAACTGGTTAAGGAACTTGAATGCATTTTTAAGATTTAACGTAAGTCGGCCCCTTTTGCTGTTGTTTTTTTGGGGGGGGAAAAAATCTAAAAAGATTTCAGCATGTAACATGTGTGAGCATTTTAAATACACCTAAACCATCTTTTTGTTTTGTGAAAAGCCTCTCATGGATCCTTTTTCTGTTGTAGGTCATTCAATGGGAACTGGACAAGCTGAAGAAGTAAAGTGTGATGTGTAACATACCTTTTGCTGTGTATAGTAACTATGATGTGTACATGGGGTTGTATATGTCTGTATAGCGTTTGTATCTTTTCTTGTTGGTTTAATAAACCGTTTACCTTTTTATTGTTCACCTTCTGTCCTCTGTTCCAGGATGGTAATATATCATTCTCCAAAGCTCTCCTCCTGCCTAACAATTCCTGCATTGTGTGCTGCTACTGAGCTCTGTGTTTTGTTAACAGATATCATCAGTTTGCTTTGGAGTGAACCAAGGTTTAACCCTTCATGGGTCACAGCCACACTTGTTGTGGTTTTCGGTACTTCAAAGGTGATTGTGCAATATATGAATAGTTTTGTGCCGTGATAACCAGTATTTGTTTTTTGTTCTCAGCAGGTGAATCAAAATGCATGTCTTCAGGGCTGAAGAAAAGAGAACAAGTAGGCCTTTCAGTAACTTTATAGGATTATAGCTCCACCCTTTTATTATATAAACAGCACCTGTAAAGGCTAATTCCACTTTCCCAGGCGAATTTGGAAAATGGAATTATCACAACCAATCTGCTCTCCCGCTGCTCTTAACTTTCACTCCATGGCTGCCGGTGATCTGTCTCCCATACACAGCCCTGTACCATGTACTTCAAATTACGCTTGCAAAGGGCGAGTTCTCGTTGGTCCGCACGGTCACCCCCCCACCATGCTGATAAGATTTACATCTTTGCAGCAACGCTCATTGGTCATCGTGATCAGGTGTTCTCCATTGTAATTTGATATACCTAGTGCGGGGCAATTATCTGTATGGACCGTGCAGCGGGAGCCACAGAGGGGAAGCAGTGTTCTTTCGAAGGCGAGAGCAGCAGGAGGGGGGGGGGGGGGGGGACACTGGAGGAGGTCATTCCATTTTCCCAAATTCACCTGAGAAAGTGGAATTACTCTTAAAGTTCCAGTCCAGTCTAGGCTAAGATGTCATTATTCTGCTGCAGGCACGAGAAATCAATCCCTCAGGGCCTGTTCACCCCAGGGCACTTTGCTGGTGGACATCTGTTACAACGCTTCAATATGCCGACGTGCATTGTAATGTGCTGCCAAAAGCCAAAAAAATCTGCCTAAAAAAATGGTGCATGCCCGTTGGAAGGTGTGTTGGGGTGCCGTTGAGGTTCAATGAAACCATATTGCACCAACACACTTACAGGGCTATTCACTAATGTGTGAAGAGTTTGCAGAAGGAAGAGAACAATTTAGGACAACATAGGTGAACTGGAAAGTGAGCAGAGTTGGAGAATGTTTCCAAATCAGCTATTTTGGCCTAGATTGTTCCCTTCTTCTGCCTTCTCCAAACTCTTCACCCTTTAGTGAATAGACCCTTGAATGTTCATTACTGCAACGACATGGTGTGTCTCCTCTACTCCTAGTGCAATGTTGTTAATTTGTACCAGGTCACATGGTGTGAGGCTGCAGCAGGGGATGATCTGTGGCAGACATTTGTGACCACAGCCATGAACTCTACAGGCGCCAGGATTTACTGTGTCATCCCTGAGCCGACAGCTCAGTCCAGGAAGTTGATCCTGACCCTCAACAATAGCCAAACAAAGATGGCTCCAGCCTTGTGCAGAGAAAAGGTGAAGGCGTGGTCAGGGATTCTGTGATCTCTGAGAAAGGTAATGAATACCTAGGAGTGTTGCACTTGCCCATTACATAGCATCCTGCACTTCACATAAAGAAATATGTAACCCAAATTCTAACCTGTTACTGTGTCATTTTCAATATCTTTAAATGTGCCTTTCTCTAGCCGGATCACCAGGTATGATTGTAAAGATGACTTGTCTGTTATAGCATGACACTTGTTATTTCCTGTTACTCTCTTGTTCTCCTGCGTTGTCACATGCTATCCCAATATAATTTTAGGGTTTATGATATTTAACACATTATATGTTGCGGGCGCTGCATAATTTGTAAGTTATTTGTTTTGACCCCACGGTCGATTTTGCCGCAGCCTTGAAACTAAATTGGCACACTAGCACTTATACACTTTTCTAGGTCCAGCGCAGAATCACTTATATCTATATCCCAATATAATGTTGGCGCACACACACAGCACAGGCACGGTCCACTGTTGCCACCATCGGGAAACCCGCCCCGGGGAAATACCATGCAGGCATTGCTGTAGGGCAGGTGGTGACAAACTCCGCCCCTCCAGCTGTTGTGAAACTACAATTCCCGTTATGGATCGGTTTCTGGGAGTCGTAACTGTGACTGAGAACCTTGCACTGTCTCATGGGATTTGTAGTCCCACAACAGCTGGAGGCCTGCAGTTTGACGCCCCTGCTTAGGGCATATACACAGGAAGTGGTTGGCAAGCAGCAGTAGATTAGCGGCACCTGATATACAGCCAAGGATGGAAAATAACTGAAAACTGCATTTAATTTAAATAAATTAAAGGGGGCGACTGATTCCCAGATTGGGGGACTCCAGACAGCTAATCCGTTCATCTCCTCCTTCCATGATCTGTTCATATGTAGAACAGCTACTGCTGTGCTTTCTGTTTAACAAAAAAAAAAAAAAAAAAGCAGTAACTTCTGCAAAACCATCGTCCTGGGTTCATAGATAAAGGATGTATGTATTGTGTGTAGTGCAGAGGTATTGCTAAATAAAAGATTTAGTTTGAAAACATAAATTATAAGTCTAGGTTCTCACCTGGGTGATTCAGAGGCCGAGCTGTTTTCGCGTGCTTTCTATCGCGAGACTGTTCATTGAAACCCACGTGGTTATAAATGCATAGAGATGTTTATGTTACCCAAACCACGCAACAACCGCCCGAAAATCACTCCTGCACCTTTTTCGCACGACAGGCTATTTCGTCCGCGCGACGAGCCGCAAAGGTGTGAACAGACTCCATTGACTTCAATGTGAATCTGTTTTGCGTGATATCACGCGACAAATCGCCTAGGTGTGAACCTAGGCTAAAGACCCCATTCACACTGAGCTACATCAAAAAAGAGCTGATTTGAGCTGAGTGACTTTGAGAGACATTGAGTTACATTGAGCTACAGTGCACATATCGTCGCGCTACTTTTGGCATGGACTTCGTAGCTGCTACATTGGGCTGCATCCAATCAGAAGCTGTCGTGATGTGACATCATTCCTCTTCTTGTTTCCTGCTTATATTTCTGTGCAAAAGTGACACTTCTGTAGCGTGACATTGAGCTACACCATTGAAGTCTATTCGGCCAAATCGCACAAAATCTGCCATGATAGGTCATGTTCAAGCTACAGGTGACATTGAGATGTGAACAGCTCCATTGAAATACATTGAGCTGATGTTTGAGCAGTTGGAATTGGGTTACATGGTGCATATCCCGGGCCATTCAGGTGAGCCAAGGCATGATGGCCTGAGCCCTGTCAATTAGGGATGCACCGATACTAGTATTGGTGCCGATACCGAGTATTTGGGCGAGTACTTGAACTGGCCCAAATGCTCAGATACTTGCCTTTGATATCGGAACTTCTGATCTCCCTCTGACCGTCAGTGCTGAGGGAGCATAGAGTCGGCTTCCTTTCCAATTAGGAAGCCAGGAGGTGGGTTAAGAGCTGCCTCCTGGCTTACTGATTAGCTAGGCAGCCGACTCCACGTGTTACTAAGCAGCCTGGCTTCCTAACCAATCAAAAACCCGGGGTGGCACATAATGACCCGCCTCCCAGCTTCCTGATTGGTCAAAAAGCCAGGCTGCCTAGGAACAAGTGAAGCCGGCTTCCTAGCCAATCAGAGATGCGGGTCATGACATGCTGCCTGGCTTCCTAGCCAATCAGGTGTTGCCAGGCAGCCTCTAAAGCCGGTGTTCTTTTGCTAGAACACCGTCTTCACAAGCAATCAGGAAGCCGGGTGATGAGCCATGATCTGCTGCCCACCTTCCTTATAATCGGGGCACCAGTACTCGGTATCGGTGAGTACCGAACAAAAAAATATCACTACTCTATACCAAAAAAAAACGATATCAGTGCATCCCTACTGTCAATGAGTTCAAGATGTAAATCTGTAGGTAAAGCAGATGGGAGGAGCTGACCCCCCCCCCCAGATTTTATACCAATACATTCTGATGAACACTTTTCTGTGTCTCTCCCACGCTGATCTGAATTCTCCCTTTGTATGGGATGTAATGGAATGTGAGCCCTCATTCTCCGACTCTTTCTAATATACAATGTTTTCTCTTGCTGCTTGCTTGCTGAAGGTGGTGTTTAAAGGCTCAACATGAAAGGAACGTTTTATTCACATGTAAATTGGCGTTGCATCGCCCGCGCTAAATTGTACAGTATTTTATACATCAAATAACAAAGCAGCATTCTACACCAGCATTATACCATCTCGCCGTTTCTTCAGAACGTAAAAATCCCGTTGCTTCTTAGAAGGCAATAGGAGGTTCCAAAAATATATTTATACAAGAGAAAATATTCAGTACTAATTAATGTCATATCCCCTTTATTACAGAAGTCTTCTATGTGGAATGGAGCTAAGCAGCCATGTAGAAAAAATGGAAGGAGGAGGGGCACTGAAGGCCTCACAGTAAGGAATTAGGGTTTAGCAGTATCTACCTGAAGAAAGATGTCAAAGGTACGCTATGCACAAGCATATGTGGACATCCCTCTGTATTATTGGGTTTATGTGTTTTCACTGAAGGGTACTGATAATACTACAGCATACAAACACAACCATGTGCACCCCATCTTGTAGTAACAGTTTGGAGAAGGCCCTTTTCTCACAAGGAGAAACTCCATATTAATGCCCATGGTTTTGAAATGGGATGTCCAGTAAGTTCATATAGGTGTGATGGTCGGGTGTCTTCAAACTTTGAACCGTAAAGTGCAGGTCTGGATAAACCAGAGTTTCCAAATGCATGAATGATCACTTTTTGGCTCCACAGAAAACTAGGGAATGGGTCCCTTTAGGGCCTCTCCTGACAGGGAGAGGTTCTGTGGCCTCTGGGTTTATCTTAGCTCTCCCCACGTGGGGATCTGCTTCAGGAGCG